TAATTTGAAATAATTGAAGTTGAAATCTATAATGAATTTAGACTTAAACTATTATAAGTAGTAAATACTACTCTTAAACAACAAAAATATTTTAAGCAAACAGTGTACTATGTCATATATGTTGTTGTCAGAAACATAAATGAAATCAATCATTTACTATAAGCAGTATAAGTAAAAGATGGTTTTAAATTTATTAAACTAGATTTTAAAAGAAAACTCTTTTTTGGAAAAAACGATTTCAGCTAAGGACCTTATGCCGATACAATAAAAATGCCATAAAAAGCCTTACGGGAATTTTATATGTGAAAATCCTGACCATATAAGTGGGACAGACTTTCGCAGAAGATATTTTTCATAATGGGTGATCATAGTTCCAGCGATGTCTAAGTTTCTAATATATTTCGATTAATGTTTTTGTATGTAGGAAGGTCCATTAAATCTGGGAGGTTGAAGGGCCTGTAGGTCACAACGTTGGTTTCCTTATAATAATAAAATTCAATTTGCATTCTATGATTCTGGAACCCCACATAGTGGTTTCTCTAGCTATTATGTACCAACGATTTCTAAAAAATTAATGTAATTGTATGTTTGGATTATTATACTTATTTTGTCCAACAAAATTTACATAAAATCCATGTAAAAATGTACGAGATATGTATTTTTTTTTAAGGTTGCTGATTAAATTAATACTGGCTTAAAAATGCCTGTGTGGCAGTAATGGGTGCAAGTTTAGATAGAAAAAAAAGAAAAATATAAAATAAAGCCGGAAAGCAAAACAAATTTGAAAAAATTTTTAACTACAACCCATTTTTTTATATTTATTTTTTAATATCGATAGAGCTTCCTTTTTTGCCCAAGTGGCATATAAGTGCCGTTTTGCTAATTCATCACATCCGGAGATTACTATATCTAATGATTTTTTAGATTTTTAAACCCAACTTTTTGCTTGATACTCGTATAACTGATCTGACTCTACAATTAGTGTCATAACACTAAAACTATTAGTGGATTTTTTAATAGCGATTGAGCTTCCTTTTTTGCCCAAGTGGCATATAAGTGCCGTTTTGCTAATTCATCACATCCGGAGATTATTATAGCTAATGATTTTTTAGATTTTTAAACCCAACTTTTTGCTTGATACTCATATAACTGATCTGACTCTACAATTAGTGTCATAACACTAAAACTATTAGTGGATTTTTTAATAGCGATTGAGCTTCCTTTTTGCCCAAGTGGCATATAAGTGCCGTTTTGCTAATTCATCATATCCGGAGATTACTATATCTAATGATTTTTTAGATTTTTAAACCCAAATTTTTGCTTGATACTCGTATAGGAAATATATATATTATTCTTTAAATATCTCAATTTAGAATGTTGACTAGAATCGTTAGAACGTAGATTGATGTGTTCCTAAAAACTATTAGAGAAGAGAGACTGTTGCAATATATAATTTAATATATCTATGTAGTGCTTCTAATCCTTTTTTTTTTTTTTAAAATGATAAAAAGGGTCATATAGGGCTGAAATAAAATATATTTGTTAAACGAACATTTTGCTCTTAGTTGAAAAAACGATAGTAATTTTTGTATATATGAAATATAGATATTATATTTTCACATGCTATATAAAGTTCTTATTAAAATTAACTCTACTGAAATATATACAAGAATTGATTGAGTAAAACATTCTTCATTTTAATTATTGTATAAAGTATACAAATATTATTTATATATATTACATTATTATATATATGTAGTATTATTTTACTATATATTACTATATTACTATATACTATATATGAATGGTACGCCCCATACAATTCTACTCATATTAATACGTATATACATATTTATTTTAATTAATACTGGCTTAAAAATGCCTGTGTGTTAGTAATGGGTGCAAATTTAGATAGAAAAAAAAGAAAAATATAAAATAAAGCCGGAAAGCAAAACAAATTTGAAAAAATTTTTAACTACAACCCATTTTTATTGTTGATGTATTTTTGAACGTTTCATTCAATATACTAACGGAACATATTGAAAAGTATATCTTAAAAAACCCAATATATTTTTTTTGTTTCCTTTTTTTGGACTATTCGCTAAATTCTGAAAATTTAAGTCTAAACACTTAAACTGATTTATGTAAAAGTTACTAACTAAAACGAAGTCTATGCTATAATATTGAATTGAATTAACATAATTTGAAGGGAAGTACTTCTGTATACACGACCATAGGACCGTATATGTCCTGAATCGTAACTGGTATTGTTCTGTTTGATATTTTTACTAAATATTTTGGTTCATGGTAACAGCTCTATATACCAATGTCTACCTTTTCATCAGAATGTTTAGTATAGCATATATGTAAGTTAAAGATGGCAATGACATATGTTTGTAATATATCTATTGAATTACCTCGCATAAAATCTATGAGCTCTTAACATGTCTCTTAATAAGTTGTCCGATTGTCTTCCATACCGTAATTTTAAGCTTATATGAAATGGAAATAATTATACTGTATATGTTAGAACAATAAGAAGTAGAATAGATTGTGTTAGTTGTGAAGGAAGACGGTTTGCGTATGTTTTATTTGGATTCGGTTTATTGTAGTGCAAATTTTGGGGAACGCTACCAGTAATGACTATTTAAGTGGAAATATTATTATTTATGTGTTTTGCTCTTATTTGCGGGAATCGTTTGACTTGCAGAGTTTTATTTGCAATGGATTCTTTATAATTAGTATATTCACATTAACTATGCAAAAATAATATAACAATCCTGTTGCGAAATTCTGAAATTAAAATAATTTTTTAATGTTTCATAAATAATACATCCATATGGCGCATATCAACTAGTATCGGACTTTAAAATCTAGTAGATTTGTTATTATTACACACTTTAACTTATATTTCGTATATTTTCAATTATATTTTAGCACTAGATGGTGTGTATTTATTTCATTTTATAATGTGTCATTATATAATGAATATATATAATTTGATTTGGCAAATAATAATAGTACAAATTCCTTTAATTAAATAGTTTTTTTTTTTTATGAAGATTTTTCATTATTTTTGAATCTTATGACGTTTTCGATTGTTAAATCTGGATTCAATCCACATTTACTCTAGATCCGTCAAATTTTGTTGCCTAGTCGAACGTTTTTATCTTATTTTTGTAGTAATGTTACAGATTTTTATATTTTTCATAAATACATATATCGAATCAAATCACAAATTATATGTAATAGCTGTTAATTTTAATTTGCTAGAGTAAGCTTGCTACTCTAGCAAATTATCAGAGTGTTTATAAATTAATCTCGAGTGTAATATATTTTGCCCCTAATTTACCAAACGAATATTAAATTGCACTAAAAGTCTAAAAAAAAATTTCCCCAGATTTACAAATCGAACACGCCATTAGGGTTTTGAGATTTCGAATTAACCAAAGAACGCCATTAAAAAATTGAATGGGTTAAAATAATTTCAAGAATAAATGCTAGCCCATTTGCAGAGCTCGGTTTAATTAAAATGATTTAATAAAATATATGGAGTATTACAGACATTTAAACAAATAACTTTATTGACAAATGACGAGTACTTTTAAGATAAAATAAGGAAATAGTTACAGTGTTTTTAAACAAATATTTTAAAAATAATATTTATGTTATATATTGACTTTCTGTTCAAACAATTCTTCTGCATAAAAATATTGTTGATAAATCTTTATTACGCATTTCTGCTTCCAACAAATGTTTTCTTCACAGCTCGTTAGATTAATAAATAAGCAAGTAGTAATGTTTATAAATAAAAAGAATACTAAATTAAAAAAAAAATAATAACTAGGAAAAATGCGGAAAAATGGCATAGGTAGTCATGACTTCTGTAAGTAAATAAATTACAATGAATTTTTCGATAAAATTATTATAACAAATTTATAGCAGAATTAGGCGATGATTACATATAATTTTTTTTGAAAAACATTGTGACAAAGTTACATAAAAGCACAGGGAAAATAGTAATAAAAAAATCACGCATAAATGTATTAACAAATAAAACTACAAAATTGTTTACAAATTACATTAAATATTTGATGTAACAATGGTTGAACAAGTGGGTTGGTCCACTGAAGCTATTTTGCTTTCTCAGTCCGCCAGTTCAATGTGACGGCAAGAAATCAAAATTATTGCAACAGAAACATTAAAAATCAAAACGCAAAATCAAATAATGCCATTCATTCTCATAAACTTCAAAAAAAAAATGTCCAAAAACCTACAAGTTAGTTGCACTAATGAGCCCAAAACCAACGATTTGGGACAAAAGTTAGAGCACTTCGCAGTCTTAGTATAAAGCGCGAATTTACGAAAAACTCGGCTCAATTCACAAGTATAGATTTATTGCCGGTACAATTCGTTGCCGGCAATGGGTATTTGGCATTAGATCAGCTCAGCTCAGCTTAGTTCAGTTCAGCTCAGCTCAGTCAGCTAAGCTAAAAGCGCAACTTGTACTCTAACATAGATCTAATACTTGAGCCAAACGAACTTACCGAACTTGGTGAGTTTTTACTCATATAAGACGAGTCCAAAATTAGTTTTCGAGTTTAGTCAAATGCAATATGTTTAACGGAACGGAGCTTTGCTAGAAAAGCTTTAAAGACTGGCGTGCGTGCAAGTAGAGTTGTTTAGCGGAATTTCGATTAACAAAAAAATTTAGTTTCTTAGAAAATTAAAAAAATTTAATTAAAATATAACTGTTATTTTAATAAAATAGTAAATAGTTTTCTTAAAATTTCATTAGTGTTAATGTTGAAGAAAAATAAAAAAAAAATATTTATGTCATTTGTGCAATAGGAATCAGTGAATTGTAAAGTTTTTCATTGGTGTGAAATGAAATTATAAAATTATTTATAAAAAAAGCAAAAGAAAAGAATAATTAAAAATAATTTAATAAAAAAAAAGAAAATTAAAACGAAATTATTCGTGTGTTAAACCAAAAAAAAAAAAAATTCCATTTTTGTACAGGTAAATAAACATAATATCAGAGAGTTTATAATACATTAACATAGTACATACAATACAGTACAATAACCGATATTGAATTAGCAAAGTTTTCTATCAAACTCATTTATATGATAATTAAAAAGTATTTAGTTATACATATAGATATATAGGTATTAATAAATGTTTGAAGTGTTCCTAAAAACTATTAGAGAAGGGAGACTGTTGCAATATATAATTTAATATATCTATGTAGTGCTTCTAACCCCTTTTTTTTTTTTTTTGAAAATGATAAAAAGAGTTATATAGGGCTGAAATAAAATATATTTATTAAACGAACATTTTGCTCTTAGTTGAACAAACGATAGTAATTTTTGTATATATGAAATATAGATATTATATTTTCACATGCTATATAAAGTTTTCATTAAAATGAACTCTACTGAAATATATACAAGAATTGATTGAGTAAAACACTCTATTCATTTTTATTATTGTACACAGTATATAAATATTATTTATATATATTACATTATTATATATATATAGAATTATTTTACTATATATTACTACATAAGTAAAACAATAACAAGGTACAAGGTATAAGGTTCATATTCGTAGTTATAAAAAACAGTATAATTTATCTGACTCTACTATTAGTGTCACAACATTAAAACTATTAGTAGATTTTTTAATAGCGATAGAGCTTCCTTTTTTGCCCAAGTGGTATATAAGTGCCGTTTTGCTAATTCATCACATCCGGAGATTACTATATCTAATGATTTTTTAGATTTTTAAACCCAACTTTTTGTTGATACTCGTATAGAAAATATATATTATTCTTTAAATATCTAAATTTAGAATGCTGACTAGAATCGTTAGAACGTAGATTTGTATAGCAGAATATCTTAAACTAGCAGAGTTCGTTATTTGTACAAGAAGAACTAAAGTCCACTAAGTACACGAACTGCTTGTTTGCTGAAACTCAAAAATTCTCTCATTATTTCCTAACTTATCCGAGCTAAAAAATTCCTAGCGACTCCTATAGTCTTTGTAATGAATTTGAATTCGCAATAGTGAATTATACTATATTCCTAAACATTTGGTATCTGGTATCTGTTACCTGAGAATGTATCGATATATGCATTTATTTTTCTTTATTGCGGGCTTGTTTCTGGCCATCTCATGTCTTTCTAGCTCGTTTGTTAATAGATGAGTTAAGGACAACTGTTAGTATAGTTCTAAAAAAATATTTCAAGCGTAATTTTTTTTATCAAAATTTAACTTATTTTTGTGGGGTTTTCCACAAATGAATAATTAATATTGTGAAGCACCACAAATCCTGTATTTTTTTAATAACGAAATGTTTAACACTTTACTATATAAAATTTCAACTGAAATACAACAGTTGTGCTTTTGTTTCTTTTGTAGAACATTTTTTGTATATTTTATTTTTGTATTTTATATTTATATATATATAATATTTCTATTATAATTAGTTGAAGTAATTTGCAATTGCAAATTTAAAGATATTTATTTTATTTTTTAAATTTTGATGCAAAACCACAAATTCTAACATACAATCACTAATTTTTGTACAATAAACTTGCACCTTATATTTATTTACATGTATACATATATAAAAAGTGTTATGTACTCATATTAATAAACAAATATTGCATGTCATTTTCAATACTATTAGCACTTCATGATTGAAGTAAATGAAAATAATAAAGAAGTCGGTTATAAGATTCACTTTCAATAAGCGTGAAGGTCTTACGAAAAAAAATAAATAAACTAAAATCAAACAATAGAAAAATATATAAAAATATATTAAATACAAAAAAACAATTAAATTTTATTATGAAGTATATAACAGAATTTTTAGAACTTGTTTTCTACTAAATTAATAGGAAAAATATAAACAAATTACGAAATTGTGTTACTAAAAATCGTTTTAGTTAATATTAAATCAGGGTTTTGATTTTTTTTATATATACAACTATTAATAAAAAATAATTAAAGTTTACTGACTTAAAATTTCTATGACTTGCAAAAACAGTTTAAATAATATTGTTATTATTTATTATTGTACATTTACAGATACTTTATTAAAATTAACATTTTTTTGTTACTTATACGCACGGTTGAACGAAATGACTTAAGAAAAATTAATTACAGTATTTATTTTTGAGCGGAAGGGTGAAGCACCCAAATTTTGTCAAACATTTGTTTTTTCATTAGTTTATAATAGATAAATAGATAGCTAATAGTTAAATGGAAGGTAATTACTGTAACTTATTGAAAATATTAGTTACAATGTTTGGCCTTTAATTATGTATTTAATTTAATAAAATAGTTTGTAGAGTAAAATTATTATTAACGACTACTAGTACACATTTTGATATAATTTTTTGTATTACTTGTCCTTTGTTTTTAATTTTAATTTCTGATTTTAAATTAATTTTATATTCTATATAAAACTCTAAGAACATAGTTTACATCACTATTATTATACTAGGTTAGGTTGGGTTATACCTGCGATCGCAAGAGGATTCACTTAGGTTTATTGGCTTATTGTGCTACCGTATTATTAAAAATCCAAGAGTTAAAACCATCAAGAAATCTTGGCAAAAGCTTATAATGCTATTCAAAGGGAGGTATTGAAGTTCGCCAAGATCCTCAAAACAGAAAGCCCCTAAAGTGTTAAGCAGGTGGGAGACACTTTCATTGTCCTCAGTACAACTGCGGCAGATATGATTGAAAGGGTGAATTTAGTCTCCTTACATTGTTAGCTAGAATATAATAACCTGTAAGTAAACCTACTGCAAGACAGATATCTCTATGAGAGAGTTTGATATCTATCAATGTAGAAACAAAAACTTTAGTGAAATTGCAATAATTTTTTTTGTATAATATATTATTCAGTATATTTAATTGTTTAATACTGCCTAAAAATTTGGTAGATTTTTAATTAATCAAAATACGGAACTTGCACTCATTAAATCAACAAATGCTTGAATAGATAAGTTCATATGGGTTTAGCAAAATTATACCTCCTTACTTAATTGGAGTTAATATGGTTCCTACACATTTAAAGTTTTTCTTGATATTATTATATCTAATCTTACTATAAGATTTATCTTTAAACATTTTTGTCATACTATAATATGATAGTATAATATCATATTATAATGAAATAATATGATATTTTTTGTCATATACTTAATATATTTTGTTATAGATTTGCCGTAGTTTTAATATAATCAAGATACATAAATTCTACTATTTTAGATAGTTAAGTTAACCAACATTAAGTCTAATTAAATTCAATTTAAGACTATTTTTTATAGTATTATATCAAATCTTACTGTAAGTTTATGTTTATGCATCTTTCTGATCGTATTCAATAAAAACAGTGTTTGTTTGTTCCATTTTGTACTTGGACTTACAAAATGTAATGAAACGCAAAGAAGTTTGAGGTCTTAGTATGCATTACTGGCAATATTTGTAAATGAACAAAACTAGATAATATAGAAGAGTATTGAACGTCAGTATAAAAAGTCATATTATCACAAAAGATTTACTATAGTCGCTATGTTTCTTTTTCCTGAGAGCGCAGAACTATGTAATTGTCTGTATTATGAAAGTTAAAATTCTGAATTGATAAACAAACAGCAATTACTAAGTATTCTTAATTTTTTACACCCAAAGGTGTACTTTAAATTATTGTTTTACATATTATTTTATCCTTAAACGTATGGGAAGTAATTCACAATTAACGAAGCTTTGAAATTGCACATAATGTATCTTGTTAAAATGACTCTTGTGTATTGCCTGCACTGCCAATAATATAGGCTTATGTCACGGATATAAACACATTCAGAAAGATCGGTATGACTTTGAAGGTAACGCATTTATCAGTGTTGAAAAATTGGAACAAATCAACAGAATGTGCTGGTTAACGGAAGAATTAATATTAGAGAGTTTGCTGAAATTTCTTGCTTTCATATGGATCATGCGAATGTATTTTACTCTCTAAACATGGTAATCTCCTGCTTTTTCAATATTTACTAAACTCAAAAAGAAATTATTATTAAACAATAGATGAGATAAAGACACAATGATAGATCGAGCTTAAAGTCATACCTAAAAAAGCATTACAATTATATTTCTTCAAGTGCACGCGTACTTGTGCATACTATTAAAGTGGACCTACTTTAGAAATGATAGAATAAATATTAAAGATTAACTAACAATCTTATTAAAATATAAAAAAAAAATTCTTGTTACTATTTGATTATTCCTCCTTAAGAGGATCTCTTCCATAATGAGATTATTTTTGAACCAAAACAAAGTATATTTATTCCAGTCTACAAATTTTTAACTCATTCCCTACAATCACAAAGAATGTGACTAGAAGTTTCATTTACTACTATATGCAGATGATATTTTAACATATCCAACAATACCATTTTGTGTCTAAGTTTAAGTAACCCGAGAGCAGGTTGGACTGATAGCCTTGAGCACCAAAGTTCTCTTAAGTCAAATAATGTCCCGTTGTGATACATAAGGTAGTAACCTCAGTTTTTTTCGACTCATGTTCCTCAGTTGAAGAAAAGTGACTAATGGACGAAGTAGTTTTTTTATTTAACGGTTTAAACTATTATTCGAATTATTACTATAAAATGTAATTCATTAACAAGTATTAGCTTTTAAAACCTTAAGAACTTTGGAGGTTGAACTGTTATAATTACTTATCTGTTATAATAACTTAACTGTATATTCAAATCTCAAAGTTATAGTAATTTGTCATACAGTACTAAATGTCTGGAGATATGAGACAATACACGACAAATATTTGTAAGGGCTAAGTAACCTATATATTCTGTTTTACTTTACTTCTCTGCTTATTTAAGAAAAAAAATCGATTAATTTTTACTGGTAGCTACAAATTGTTGACTACACACAGTTGCTTTAGGTTATAAGTTTATTTTAGAACACTTATTTTAATGGAAATATACATTAAAATATCCTTTGTGTTAGAAAGATACTTTCTCAGCCCATGTGTACTTATTCATTTCTTATTTATTTTAAGTTCTCATTCAAAACTTAATTGTAAAATTAACTGAGCATGCGATAACTTTTTATAATTTCCATAAATTTCCGTTCAAGGGATGCTGTCTTGTGTTTTTCAGAACCAAACATTCTTGAGATACAAAATAAATTCGTATGGTTGACTTTATATGTGCTACGTAAAATAAAAATTTGTTGATTTCGAGACATTAAACGAGGAAAATGCGCAGCAAAAATTTTGGATTCGTGGGCTCAACTCAAGTTCAGATAAATTTGACATTTAACAGAAAGAAACTTGATGAACGAATATATTTTCGCCTTAGTTTTTATGGTATATGATGATGTAAACGCCGTGGAAAGAGTTTGTCCGTCATCTTAAATACCACAGATTAAGGGCATTTTTTGACCTTGTCATGCTTTTCATTTCATTTTCATTTTTCTAAGTCATACATAAAAGGAAAATTTCTGTCCATAAAAACGTAATGAATACATAAACTTTTTGTTTTGCGGTTTATTCATATATTCTGCCTTGAGTTGTATTCTTAAGGATTTAATGTTTACGTCTGTTATAAAATGGTGAACGATGTGCGTACAGAGTATAAACAAATATTAATAATAATAAAAAGATACTTGCAGCCAAATAGGCAATATTTATGATTTCTGTTAACTTGAGTTGTTATATGTGATGATTTATATATTACATATATATGAAAAAAAATTATATATTATACAGGGTCTTCCTTTAATAGGTACTAATAATTAATCTGTTAACTAACATTATCTTTTTATTATGGAAGCTCTGGCAAGGAATGACCTTCAAAGTAGTGTTTATGAATGATTTATGTATATTGTATGTATCTAAAATAAATGTTCAGTAAAAAAGGTTTATACCATGAGACTATGAGACTCACTCTTGTTCTGTCTAGTCATATTTTGCATAAAGATGCATACAAGGCTATCAATCAGCTACTTATGTATCCTGAAAAATGTATTTGTTGATGCTGTTAATGGTGTAGTGTTATGATTCGTTTGAACATATTTAGAAATGACAAAAAAAAAAAAAATCAGAATATCACCCACAATAGCCATCGGAAGAGAACCGACTTAAGACTTAATTAGCTCTGTAGACTAGTTCCAAGTATAGATATTTGCAACAGTATGTAGTTGTTAAACAGCTAAGTCTCTGTTTGAAATTTGAATATCAAGACTAAAAGTTATTAAAGACATGATACTCCGGGTAACTAGCGGTATAACTAACTGATTATTTCATACAACTATACACAGTTAGCTTTTCTTAGTAGAAAAGAGCTAAACTTGCTGACAAGTGACCTAACTGGCTGCACTAATCTGCATTACCAAGTCAACAATGATGATGCTTTTAGTCGCATTCTGTTTGAATTGCTTACTGAATTGCTTAATTTAAGCTAGTAAAAAAACAGTGATCCAAATATTCCTTTCCGTTAGTTAAAACCTTAGTGCCGTTGGCCACTTAAGGAAAGTACTGACTCAAAGACTTAAGATATGGATTGGCCTCTCAGATCATGTAATAAACCAGCTGTAAAGTATGTTTCGTGGGTTAACCTGGCTTATGCAGACAAGCCAACAACAATTTCAGCGATGGAGGCAAGCACAGATTGCACTTAATGTTTCTATAGTTCGTCTTTTAGGTTATTAAGTTAAGCCGGCGACTTTTAGATCGACTTACCTACCAGTTATGTTATAGTATACAGAAAACTTAAAAACCAACCTTTTTTGACACAGCTTAAAATACTTTTTATATATATCTATATCTTCGTTTAGATATAATTTACTTTTAATGTAAAAGACAATAGGATAAAATTAAAAATCATATATAATGAAAATAAATTGAAAAAAATTAATATATATTTATTTCAATTTCCTGCAAATTATAAACATATTGAATTTATTTATTATTCATATAAAAAATTAAATAAAATTAAATTAAATTATTAATTAAATTAAATAATTTTTAAAAATAGCTATAAGCTTAATGGTTTTGTTTATTTAACATTTTATGTAAAAAAAAAACAATTATATTTTAATTTCAGTAAATATCATTTAAAATGTCAAACGTATCTAAAACCACAGCGCTTGTAAGGCGAACTACATTTTCTGCAGCTGCTACTACGGCTTTCCCTACGAACGCCCCACCAGCAATTTCATTGAATTTAGAAAAAATCTCAGATTCAACGAGGGAAACCAAACAAAAGTAAATTAATTACAAATTAAATTAAAACTATTAATTGAAAATTTTTTCATTTTGTTCAAATTAATAGCTCTACCGGTGCAGGGAAGCCTTATTCTGAAGTACCCGGTCCATGGGGCATGCCAGTAATAGGAAATTCATGGCGGTTTGCACCACTAATTGGTAAGATTCGTTGATAATAATAATTGTGGGAGTAATTTAAAAGAGAAATATGATATAAATTTATGTTTACTATATAAATATGTATGGTATACCAAATAGTAATATAGAATATTTAAAGTGTTTCTTGCGTGACATCATATCATCATTTTTTATATTTTTGATATGCAAGACAGTCGTAACATTGCCCATACAGAATTTAAATACACTACAATATTTCGTAATACAATAGTTTTTCCAGTACTTAAAGCGATTCGTACTAAACGTGTAGCCGTACCGCAAACGACACCCTTAATTCACGAAGCAGATCTACCCACAACGCTTGATCATAACCAGATTTTTAATATGATTAATTAGTATATTTGCTTAATAATCTCGTAAATTTAATATTTTGTTAAAAAATATTAAATAAGTATTATAATAAAACAAGATTTGATGCTAATTACAATATATTAGGTTGGTTACATTGTAGTGACAGCCTACTGCACCAAAGTTCATTTGAGTACAAATATAGGTTCATTATGGTACCACGAATGACACACTGTCTGTACGGTATTATGAATTCTACGGTACGGTAGAACTTCAAGTTCTTCTTCTACTTTAAAGAAGATTGTTAAGAGGATTACTACCACTTAAAAGTAGAAAACCAAAGCATACAAAGCACGCGGACAGAGTGTCTCTTGAAAAGGTGGAAGTCTCTCAGTCTAGTAGAAGTGATCTTACTTGACAAATCTATTATCTTTGCTATGTTCTTAGTTTCGAGTATTGGACTTCAGTTAGAAAAGTGATCCCAAACTTTGTAAGCGATGATGGATACTGACATACATTGTGACCGAAAAGTTTCCGGTCATAAATAAATAAAACGCAAAATTCTTAATCTTCATCAATATTTATTTTATCTCCTTCAAAATATGCTCCATTAGAAGCGATACACAAATGCCAACGTTTCTTCCAATCATCAAAACATTTTTTATAGGCGCTTTCCGGTATGGCTTTGAGTTCCCTCTGCGAATTCTGTTTTACGTCTTCTATGGATTCAAAACGCGTTCCTCTGAGTGGTAATTTGAGGTTGGGAAACAGGAAAAAGTCACACGGTGCAAGATCAGGTGAATACGGTGGCTGTTCGATGGTATTTATTGAATGTTTGGCCTTAAAATCGTTGATAATGTTGAACAAATTGAGGTGAATCGGAACAAGCCGGGCGTTGACACGTCGCATACACAAATTGTCCACCAAAATCAAACGAGCCATCTCACGACCGATGCCTAGCTCTCGTGCTATCTCTCTAACACTCACATGAGGATTTTTGAACACGATTTCCTTTGCCTTTTCAATGTTTTCGTCGGTGGTAGAGGTCGAAGGTCGTCCAGAACGCGGCATGTCTTCGACGGTCGTACGACAGTCCTGAAAGGCTTTGTACCACTCATAAACTTGAGTTTTCGATAAAACTGATTCCCCATAAGCCTTTTGTAGCATTCGCAACGATTCTGCACACGAAATTTCGTTCGAAAAACAAAATTTGATGCAAACTCTTTGTTCAATATTTTTTTCCATTGTTTTTTTCGCAACGCACTACTGAGGTGAACTGGTTTCAACAGCTGCCGTAAACGAACTGTCCGACAGATCCCGCTCATTTTTGGCAATAGTAATTAGACAGTGCTGCCAAACTACATAAACTTAAAATATCGAAAAATATACAGCGCGCGAATTTTAAATGAGAACCTCCGAAAACCTTTCGGTCACAATGTATGACATGAAGTGCAGCTCCCTTATCATCTGTAGAGCCATAATCTTAACAAAAGTTGTTAGAGAGTAAACCAAGTTTTATTGCATGTCTTCTTAATATGTTGTGGCCTGTCAGCACTAATACCGTAGTATTGTGTTAGTTTCGCTTTAGTTGAAGTAAATAACTGCTGCGAATTTTGTCGATTTAGATGAGTTGAGTCTTGTAATCTGAAAAGAGTCTTCATCTACTCAAGCCTTCATTATAGGTATTTAAGTTTAATCCAAATTTAGCCCTTGCAAGAGGGATACCAATATCCGAAAAGTGAATTTCAGAAACCGAAATGAGTTAGACTTTGACAAGCTTCTACAATTCATCAAAATATGCCTAACATTCTCAAATTACGAAAAAATCAGCTGCTAGACTAATCACAGTTTTCATTTGATGCTTATTAAAATTCCGAAAAAATAGAGTTTCTGCTTTAAACTCTTCCAATAATCTTATTTTAAATATACATACATAAATTATTTTAATAACATTAACATTTTCTTTAAATATATTTTTTTTTTCATTGAAAGCCAGATAACCAAATTAAAACTATAATTACAGGTCCATACAAAATTAGTGATCTTGACAAAGTTATGAAAGAATTACATATAAACTATGGAAAAATAGCAAAAGTTGGTGGATTGATTGGACATCCTGATTTACTTTTTGTGTTTGATGGAGATGAGATACGTAACATTTTTAAAAAAGAAGAAGCAATGCCTCACAGGTATTAGTTCATTTATTTGTTTAACTATTGCTTTTTACTAAATTTTTTAAACAACTAATATTGCTTATTAAATATATTATATTAAATATATTATACATAAATATTTAAAATTACTAATAAATTTGCATATATTTTATAATCTTAATATATGAAAACCATAATTTAAAACCTGTATATTAAAATTATATGATTAATAGAAAATAAAATGTAACATTAATGGATATTTTATTACTATTGTTTAAAAGACAAAAAAATATGTTCGATTTAATACAGATAATAATATGTACATTGCAAAATTGACATCAACTTATGTTTATATCATTAGAGTATCAGTTCCATACTTCAATTTAAAAACCGAACTCTATTTTTAATTGATATCTTGCATTCCTTTTTTCATGCTAAAAGCTTTAGAATACTTATTAATCAATTAATATCATATCATTAATATTAATAGTATCTCTGATTTATGCCTTCATTATTTCTAAAAAGTATGCAATTATTATTTTATAAAAAACATTTTTTTATATTTTTTGGTATCTTAAACATATGCGAGAAATTGTTATATGAGTAATAATTTCATATCAAATAAATATAATTTGCATAGGTTTATTGAAATTATAAAACCAACTAACTATTAGGTTAGGGATTCAGTTAGGTCTATAGGTTCATTGTGGTGCCATATAAGGAAAAACTCAGAGGTTTAAAACTAACTTGAACCTTTGACAAAAGCTTATAATGCTATTTAAGAGGAGGTCTTAACTAACTATTAATGTAAGCTTTACTTGTGTTTATCTAGTTATCGATTTCTTATAAATAAATCACTCCTATATACCATTTACCTTTTCTAGAAATTATAATGATTTGATTACCAGGTTTATATGTAGTTTGTTTTTATCTTTAATTTATTTCCTGCCAATTTGGATTAAAAGTAAATTTGTTTCTTTTTTTTTTAAATATCGACATAAAAGTAATGTTTGAGATAAAAAAAATCCTATTTTAACTAACAGGAATAGTTAATTAACAAATACTTTTGTTGCTAATAGAAAAAATTAAACATTTGCGCTAAGCCTGGTACTTGCAGTTCAAATAAATTATATACGGGCGGTAAACTAATTAAAAAACTCGAATATTTCTTAAGACTTGGCAATACTCAATCAAAACAGCGTTGTAAGGTCAGCCAAACTTTAATAAATTAACTAAAAATTATTGTTGTTGTCTTCTCATTTCTATTCGAACCCTTCTAACTTTTAAATAGTTTCTTTTAAACGACAAAAAATATATTCGAATAAAATAAATGCAAATATACAGTAATAACTCGATTCTCGAACTGAATCCAAATCATGCGCAAGTACGAAGCAAGTATCGATTTTGAGAAGTATTAATCAAGCTTGTTAAAGAATAAAGTTAATACTGTTTATATATTTGAGTTTATCTCGAATTTTATACCCTTTAATAAAAATTATTTTAACCATTTTTGCCGATTCCATTTTATGATCAGTTTAGAAAGACATTACTGAATTGATTTTTAAATTTTTATAAAAATTTTATTTTCAAAGTTTTCTTTATAAATCTGAATAGTTCATGGCGGCATATCAATTGATATTATGTATTCAGACAAAATATTTACTTTCAAAGTTATTTATGCAAAATTTTATTCAAGTGGTAAAATAACTTGAAAGACTAATTTACCGTGAAATAAACAGATAAACACTGGCTGTGGCTGTGATCAAGGATATATATAATTTGTAAGGTTTTGAGTATTTCTTCAACTGACAATGATAACACCATTGTAAAGTTACATTGATAAACATAATATTATGGATATGGAAGTTAAACATTTAAATTTCACATCACAGTTGATACTCACAGATTGGAACTACTCTGTTTTCCAAGAAGTTCTAATTTCCAACATATTATCATATCTGAAGGTTTTATTTTTCATGACAAGTAAAAAAAAATGCAAATTAATTCAAAAATATTATTTTTATTAATAGTTTTTTATATAAAATTGTGATATTTGATTGTTGTGGTTTATGTAGGACTGGAAGATTGGTTATATGCTTAGAAGGAATTAACCCATTTCTTTTACAGCAAATTTTTCGAATAGAAATAGGGATATACTGAAGAAATTTTTAAACCAATAATTTTATTTATTCTTTTTCAATTAATTGAATTCTTGGACTTTTCATCATACTGCTGTTATGAATACCGTCACATAACTATCATAAGTACTCTTTAAAAACATTTATTAGTTTAATTGTGCTTATATAATTTTAGGACTGTAGGTGTCAGAAATTAAACTCTATCAACTTTGAACCTGGTATCTAGGTGTTAATATAAGTTGATGATTATTTTAATAAAACAATTTGCTTCAATAGCTCAAAAGAAAGTGAATAATGAGCTTTAATTGTCGAGCTGAGAACCAATAAAGCCGAACTGGTCCTTACCAGACAATCAAGTTGATGATCCGTTTGGTAGTAATCAGGCGATTGTATGATCGCATGATTCTGCCGTTAATGAAACCAAGCGCAGGGGCCAGATTTGAGAAGCCGCGGGTGTTAACTATATAATACAATATACACTTATATCAATATACACTTAATTTATCTTATTCAAATTTAGGGTTTTGACAATTTAATTTGTCTTACAATTACTGAGTTTTTCATTAGAACTAACGCATAAACCACAGCTATATAAATCATTGCTTTTTTCATTGAGAAAAATTTTTTTTTTTGAATGACAACACTATTTTATGTAGAAAACAATGTGTAATGTTTTCAACAGACACAAAAAAAATATAATAATTATATTATATTCAGTTCATTTAATTTAGTTAATCACTAGTAAACGTGAAAAAAACTTAAAATGTGCGAAAAACTTCGTAAAATGAGAACCACAATTCTAATTTAAGAGTATTCAATGCATAATAAAATCCGGTTCTTATTTCTGAAAATTTTAATTTCTTAAAGTTTTAATTTGTGACCTTCTTTTACTTTTTTATTTTTTCTTGATCAAACGTGAGTTAGTGTCTACAGCACTTTTACTTAATAGTGTCTCTGATTATTTAGATCAGAGCTGTCCAGACCAGATAAGATCGCAGGCCAATTCAAATCACTGAATATGTTGGGGGGCCGCAGAAATAAATACATACATTCATAATTTTTTCGGAGAGAAATAAATATACGGTGATAGTGATAAATTTAGTTATATTAATTCTTCATTAGTTTTCTTTTACAATTCAACCAACATCAACATTATTAATATTAGTTGTTGCCATACGAAAAAAATCTTATTTTTAATGTAATGACTTACGGTACTGGAGACAAGTTTTTTGAACCAGTGGTATAAAGAAATATATACTAAAATCTTTATCAATTAAGTAAATTAACGAGAAGTGTAATAAATTATCTAAAACTTTTTAATTCATTTATTTTGGATACCATAAAAATAAAAAAAATTTAGTTACCAAAATATAACAAAGAAAAATTTTCCTAATTGTAGTAGATTAGAAACATGTCGCGGGCCACATGAGACCCGTGCTTTGAACAGCACTGATTAAGATGATCCACTGTAATCTTCGTTAATAAGAGCTTCGTTAAATTCTGATAATAGGTTAATTTGTGAACGTCCACTGTATTGTCTTTTTCATTTATATTAAATTAAAGGTTGGCAATTTAAATTTTTAGTTCTTACGGTTAAGTTTATTTTGCATAAACTTACGAAATAATTATTATGATTATAGTTATTATTTTATACATATAGCATACGCTTAAAACTTGACATTATTTTATTTAAAAATATTTCAAGAAAAGTATTTATATTTATGGCTTTTAACGCGTTTTTAGGATTTTTATTGAGTTGTTAAAACAATAGCTATATTGAAGAACATAGTTAACAAATAACAAATATTACTTTTACTTGAAAATCTTGTTGAACTTATATTAATTATGAAAGTTTCACTTTTTTGTCGCTGTGTATTTTCACTTTTTTGTCACTGTGTATTTTGCTTATACAAAATCAAAAAATGTCTGTATATATTTTTGCCGACCCTTGATTTATGTACGGCTATTTTGAAAACTGGATATGTGCGATAAACTAAAAAAATAACTATGAAAATAGCTTAACTGTCATCACACAATTTTGGGATAAAATCTTTATATTGCAGAGTAGTTAAAGACTTGTGTCCATTTTTGCACGCAAAACTATCCAGAAAAACTGTTTATGACTTGTTAGAAATCCGAAATTGATTATATGTTTAGTAAATCAATAGACTGTGTAAACATAATTTTATACCAAATCGTAAATTATTATTAAGGGTCGACGCAAATACATACAAAACTAAGATAAGATTAAGCTTTCTGCTATTAAATCACACTGCATTGTTTATTTATCATGTATATAATATATAATATTTCGGATAGCTAAGCTCGAAAATCGCACTAATCGCATTAAGCTGTCAATAGATTTTGCTTAAACGACTGTATTTCGTCGAGACCGCCGACGACGTTGTTTGGGGATATTTTTGATGAGAATTGGTTGTGGAGCTTTATGAGTTCTGCTACCAAATACCATATTTTGCCAACTTTGTGTAACATTTGGCACATTATATATGAATTAGTATTAAAATGAATGAATAAAATCAATAAACAATAATCTTTTGTTTTAAATGAGTAGATAGATAAAGATAAATATTTACTGTTCCCACGATATTCTACGCCGATGATTGAGCATTGGAAATTCTGAAAATTTTGTACTCTGATATTTAAACTTGTTAATTATAGTAGATACACATTCAACTTAAGCAAAAATAAACATAAATTAATATTTTTATGACTTTTCTAGCAAAATTGCAATTGAAATTACCTTGAATTTCACGTGCTCTTTGCAAATAAATAAAAGTAGAAGATAATTTTTTCTTTGTATTGTATATAAACATATATATATATATACATACGTAATACAACGCAATGTTTAACTTTTTAATAAAATACAATGTAGTTAAATCATTTTTTTAACTTTTAGATATAAATTTTTTATGTTTCTTGCATAAGTTTACTGTGTTGCAACCTTAAGGTACTAAAAAGCTAATAAAATTTCTGCGTGAAATAAAACAACATTTCTATAGTATCTGTATCTGTATCTGTAGAAGATGAAATTCATCTTAAGAGTGAGAGCCAATTTCAATTTAAATTGCCTAAATTAGCTGAAACATTACAAAAGTGCGTGAGATGTCAGTTACTTTTTTTTTTTTTTTTATTGTATTGACCATGTTAAACACGCAAGTTTATAATAGAAATATTACAATAGTTTTACGATAACGACTTTCTAATGCTCCTAAATATGCATTTTTTTATATACAAATTGTATAGCAATAAATGTTTAGTTTAGTACTCATTAAAAGTTATTTAAATTTTCAATTAGTAAAGGCGTTCGAAAAGCTAGCATTTATTAAATATTAATAGTTAAAAAAATAATAATAATAATAATTTTAGTTTCTAGATTAAAGTTCTTTCGAATAGATCTGTATTTAACAAACAATAACTTTGTTAATATAAATATATTGAGGTTACTACATAGAAGTGCTTTCGAATACATCTGTATTTAACAAACAATAATTCTGCTAATATAGATATATTTAGGGTCCTACATTGAAGTGCATTCGAATACATATATAGATATGTAGATATTGCGGTTCCTACGTTGAAGTTCTTTCATTTGTTCTGTATTTAACAAACAATAATTCTGCTAATTTAGATTATTCAACTTCCAATATTGAAGTTCTTTCGTATATATCTTCATTTAACAAACAATAACTCTATTAATATAGATATATTGAGTTTACTACATAGAAGTGCTTTCAAACACATATATAGATATGTAGATATATATATATTATTGAGTTTCCTACATTGAAGTTCTTTCAAATAGTTCTGTATTTAACAAACAATAATTCTGCTAATTTAGATATATTCAAGTTCCAATATTGAAGTTCTTTCATATATATCTTCATTTAACAAAGAATAACTCTGTTAATATAGATATATTGAGGTTCCTACATTAAAGTTCTTTCGAATAGATCTATATTTAACAAACAATAACTCTGCTAATATAAATATATTGAGGTTCCATCATTGAAGTTCTTTCGAATATATCTGCATTTAACAAACAATAACTCTGCTAATATAGATAGACATATATAAAACAAAATATATGTCGACTACTATAAAGACTGATTTCTTTTCAGAATATTGACGTTCTTAGATTTGGAAAGACCTGAATATAACAAACTATATATAGGAAGTCATTTTTATTTTTATTGGTTTTAGAATATTGAGGTTCTTTAAACTTTAAACTATTTAATATTTTAGTAGTCTTGAGATCACACATCATGTAAGTTATTTGAATATACTTTATACTAATAACATACATGTAGCAGTTTCAGGCACAAAAGATATGTTAGTCTTCTTTCACTCTATGACTCAGTCTTTCACTATCTTCAGATTAAAGAATTTATTTTCCCAAACTTTTCAAGTACATTAGGTAAAAATCTAATGTACTTGTTTCTAATCTACTATAATTGTTATTAATTAATAACACTAAATTTAACGTTATAACCGTATTTTTTCTTTTCTCCAAAACAACTATGAGCGTATGTATTTGTTTTTGCGACCCTCCAATTTGTACATTGATTTGTATTAGCCCGCGATTGCATCTGGACTGGATAGCACTGGTATACACTATAAAATTTAATAATATATAACAGAATGACGCCTAATTTGGTTTATATATATATATCCGTTTTATATATATTATATATAGAGTTTTCCCAACTTGTTTGGCATAAGTTCGAGAAATGATTTTTTGGTCTAAGGAAGGACTGCCAATTTTTTTACTAGAAGTCTTTTAAACATGTATTTCGCCTCTGATTTTTCTGCCTCTAACAGATTACTTTTTTTTCGTTTTTAAATCAAGATATTAATGCTCGAATTCAAACCACGTTAGTACAAAAATGATCTATTGATATATAAAGATATAGATAGATAAGTTAAATATATTTATTTATTTAAGGGACAACCCTAAATCTGCAATCTGTAATATACTACAGATTTTAAAAAACACTTCACACTAAAAGCAAAAATATTAAATTAAAAAAGACAAACTAAAATAAACTTAAAATAAGTTTATATTTAATCAGTTTTTATTTTACCTTAACTTTGTGTATCTTTGAAAAAAAAAAATACGAAGTGCACTTCCACATTCATTCATAGATTTTGGCATTTATATCTTTTCAACAATGCTTGCATTTTTAAAATGTATATTAAAAATTTATATTCCTGTCATGAGTGCTTCGAGATTTATTGAGTAGTGAAAAAGTGTAAGAAAATTTCAAAAAATTGATGAGATTTCTATTCACAGCTCCAAAAAGATTGACGTGACTTCATTGTGATAAAACTATTTTGTATTGAGATAAATATAAGTATCTCAAAGCTTAACTATAGGAATTTGCATTTATACAGCATTTGTGATTCGTTTGGATTGTACGTATTGTGAAAGTATATTTAGACTAAGCCTAAGACAATTAGCGGTAGAGTAGAGTCAAAGGAAATCATAAAAATGAAGTCATATAATTAATAACTGTTTTATATCCGCTAAAATGTTTATTTAATTGTGATGTAATTGATTATCTCTTAAGATGTGTAGATCTTAAAACTCGAAACCTTAAGTTGTTCTTAAAGTTAATAAATTACTGTTGTGATAACTTCGAGGTCATTAGAATCTTTGCACAGGGCAATACATTTTATAATTTATTTAATTGTATAATTTATTGTAATTTATTTTTTTATCTAAATTAAAATTAAAAGTTCCTGTTAATTATGTACGTATGTTTAATAATACAGAATGTGACAAAAGAGGCTAGTCTCAGCATACTTGACATCACAGTCATTTGACACTGAAAGACGGGAGCATTAGAATTAAGTGCTTAAATCATCGTTTATTTGCTAATTTGAAAGATTTGAACTATCGTTAGCGATCTTATAATGATTAAATTTACCCATAATGGTTAAATTTGATATGAGTTTAAAAATATTATTAATCTAATTTATGAGCTTTTGAAAATTCCATTATTCAATAAGGCATTTTGAGTTCTGTACTTTGTTAAGTCTATATAATCTAGAAAAGGTATGTATTTCTTGTGTGAAGACATACAGTACTTGAAATTGTTAATAGCTTATTTGGTTGAGGTGAGCTTTCCTATCAAGAGCTTTCCTATCAACAAAAAGAAAAACTAACAAATATAATAGATTGTTATATTTACTTGGCAGTGAGTTAGACTTAGACTTACAATTTTTGTAATAGATAATACTGATAATACTGGGGCAGGTATTTTTAACCCTATTTGTAATTAAAAACTTCCAAAGAAGCACGTAGCACCTATTCTATTGAATTAGCACCTATTGCAGTACAAAAGGTCAATTAAGGTTGCAGCGCTCGGTCTAGTGGACTCTTATCTTATATGGGTATATTTGCATATGTAGAGTACAAAATACATACTTAGTGATTGTCCAAAATTGTCGTGAATCCTACTAAGAATATTGCGGCAAGTTTTATTAACTTTATCTGATATATATTACTATCTTTAGTTCTATATAAAGCTCTTGAAAGTTGAAAAACTTTTTTCTACTGTAAACTTTTTACAGATTACATTATTCATATATCCAAACCATCAGTTATCTACTAACTAAAGCTTCGTCATTGTCATGGCTCTATATCCATTTTCATGGCTATAGATCCATGCCCACAGTGTATAATCTAATGACAATATCCGGATACGATGTCGGCTAGTCACCGGAGATACGTTAGATTATATTCTTCATGTATCCAAACCTCCAGTTATCTACTCATTGAAGCTTCGTTACTGTCATGGTCCCACATTCATTTTCATGATAATGCTCCTATGCACACGGTGTATTGCCTAATGACAATACCCGGACATGGTGAAGTCTATTTACCGGATATACATTAGAATATTAATCATGTACCTAAACCTGCAGTTATAAAGTAACTGTTATGATTTCATATCCATTTTCATGGTTATAGACTCATGCTCACAGTGTATGGCCTAATGACAATACCCGATCACGATGAAGGCTAGATACGTCAGAAAAAAAACAAATAAAAATATATGTTTAATGTAACCTGTTAGAGCTGTGTTAAATTTACTTGAAATAACATATATCACTGTATGTAAAAATAACAAGAAACTTAATAATAGAAACAGAAACCAAATAAAATGATTAACTCTGACCAGCCTACCCTGTTGGTACTTCTTATTTATGTATATGTGATGACTTTGCAAATTTAAAAATTTATATTACCAAATTTAATTAATTAAATTGTAATTAATATTCAAAAATTCCCACACTTAACCGACAATGAAATTGTAATACCAGAAAACCAACAAAAGATGTAAATAGTAAAATACATAGCAAATACCAAAGTGAGAGCAAATACCTAGCAGCCAACAATGGACTTGTTTGGTTGTCCGACAAGTTCAATTTATGAAGGTTAAACACTTTGAAAAATATTGTTGACATTTCTAGTACGTCCGTCTTGTCTTCTCTTGTCTCTGTTTTTGTAATTCTTCAAAGCATTGTTTATTAATAAATATTTTCTTTGTTGGTGCTTGGCGGGTTTACTGAGTGATTTGCAGTTCACACCTGGTGGTGACTTCAACTTAGTTCCAACTCGTACCATATATGCAAAACTGAATTAAAAACGCATGTTAGAAAAATTTCTCAATAAAAAATAGTTGAATTTTTATTAAAACACAAAAAAAAATGACCAAACAAAAAACTTGAATTTTGGCATAATTTAATTTTGGGCAAATGAGGCTTGGTTTAAAAAAAATATTATAACAAAAAAAAATATTTGGAAAAAAATTATAAAAAAAAACAATAATTAAAAAAAAATAATATAATAAAAAAGAAAAACAATAATAATGATAATAAAAACTAAAAATAAAAGCGCGGCTTTTTTGAATTACATTTTCCTTATTTAATTTGCTAATTTTGTTTTTGTTTATTTTATTTCTTTGTACACATTTTAAAAATTTATCTATAAGATATTTACATATCTAAATACATAAGACTGCTGCATATTTTCTTTTACTGTGAAGTGTGTTCACAGTATTTTTATTCTGCATGTTCATTTCATATTATATTAGCCCATATATCATATATATATATATATATATATATGCAGTATATAATCCTATATATAGCTATATATCATAAAAATATTTTTAAGTGAAAAGCTTTGTTGTTATATGTTAAATGATGTAGTCGCCGTCAGTTTGTCTGCACGCAACAATTTTTATTATTCCTCATTTTACATTGTATCTGTCTATCGTTGTTGATATAATAGATAGAAAAAAGCTTATTATTGTTATGTCAATGAAATCTACTTATACCTTCTGTTTTTTGAACAATTTGATTAGTTACCATGAGCTAATGCTCGTAATATTGGATATGTCTCAAATCATTGTGGCATTCGGAAAGGTTCTATTTAATATCTACAAGCATGTA